AGTTAAATCTGTGTGCAATGCTGTGCAATGCTAGGCAATATGTTTGCAGATCTGTCTACCTGCCAGCTTGCATCATATCTATGTGTCTGTCTTTTTTGTATATATTTCGGCTCTCTCTTTTTCTATTCCTTTCGCTGACAGATCTCCCTTCTTCATGACACCCACACTTCCTTGTAGAGGCTGGAACCCGACATAGGACCTCGACATTCATGGACATTGATTATGGATCCAAGTAAAATGAAATCTTTGACAATTCCAATATTCATCATCAAAAACAGCATTTCAAGATCTCTCCTGAAGTGCAATATTGTCAATGTCAGAACAGTATTCATACACCTACAGGGAAAACCAGATAATACAATCACTATTCAAAGTCATGCACCAATTGCTAATGCCATAGATGAAAAAATCAACTTCTCCAGTCTCAAACTGATCCAACATGCAAACATGATACATTGATAATGATTGGTGATTGGAGTGGGAATGCTGACAACATCTGCTGGAGTGGGGTTGCTGTAGTAGAGGTAACACCGAGAGAAGGGCTTTGCCACCAGCTGGGATCAGGGATATCAAAGAACACTGGTTCCAGAAGATGACTGTGGATGAGTCTGATAAGAACAAGTTCTTGAATAAGGAAGATGACCAAGCAGGGCTTGACAAGTGCATGGTGGACTCCTGCCTGTGGCAACAAAGCATGGCAGTTGCTCTACAAGCAAGTCAGAACCTCCTCTAAATCAACACAAGAGTCAGGCGGTGAAGGATCGGGTAGCCAGCAATGTCTTGAAGGTGCTTATCTCTTCTAAAGCTAAGGATATGGACAAGGCATTTCAACCTCTGGACAGGAATGGCATGGCCCTCGTAATGAGAGCCCCACTGATAATAGCACTGCGGTGTTACTTCAATGGTATGAAAAGTCACTGATGCTGGAGAAGTAGGGGCCCTCATTCGACTCTTGACTACAAGGAAAACCGTTTAATCCCACAGGAACTTAATATGGACCATGGTATGGGTGTTGCTGGTACAAAGACCAAAACAACCAAATGCCATTGCTACTTTTTGGGTAGCATCCTTGTCTCTCAGCTGTTCCTCTTCCTTCTTTTTTTATATCTATAAATAAAAATTACATATGTCAGTTTTCTTTTAATGAAAATTGGGATAACATAGAAGAAATTTTATTTCAACCAAAGTGCTTCATTCTCTCAAACCCAGTTCAGTGATGTGTACACCAGTGTGTATATAGTATAATTCATAGACTAGTTTGTACAATCTTTAACTCCTATTAGCTGTCCTTTTGTCATCTGTCAGTTTGTCATATTGTGGTGGCTTGTGTGTTACGGTGATGCTGGAAACTATGCCACTGGTATTTTAAACATCAGCAGAATCACCCAGGGTAGAAAGGTTTCACCTGAGCTTTCAGGCTAAAACAGACGAGGTAGGAGAGGTACACCATTTTTTTTTTTTTTCTTAAATGTTTTATTGTGAATTGTGTGATAGTTTATATGGGAGAATATTAGTTTTACATTCATTCTATCATATATCGTCTCATTGCCATGGTTACAATCCCCTCCATGCAATACTTTCCCCGTACCCCCAGGTCTTCAGCACACAGTCGCTCTCCCTCTCTGGATCTAAAGTCTCCAGCTGCTCCATCACTCCACATCACCATCTCTGGCTCCATTTCAGCCATCACTGCTTCTCTGGGTAGGGTCCCGCTCTCTGCTTTTCTCCCTTGATGGTCCTAGGGACCTCCGCTCCTAGACTGAAAAGTTAATCACTCCCTTTCTTGCTATAAAATGTCTACGTTTACATTTCCGACCCTCACAATCAGTCCTGATAACAGTTATTCACTGTTGTATCACAAAAGGAGGTACACCATTTTTGAACGGTTGTTGTTGTTGTTAGGTGCCATTGAGTCAGTACTGACTCATAGCAACCCTATGCACAGCAGAATGAAACACTGCCCGATCCTGGGCCAACCTCACTACTGT